ATTACCCAAGTATTTTGATAGATGCGTCCTAAATATGTGCAAGGAAAGAAATGAAATGGACCAAAATGCATCTGAGTAAAGTTGCCATTTGTTCCGCAGTGACACCTTTAGGGATATATAAACCCTATCTTCTCAGCGAGACGAGTTTTAATTTCATCCACACTGACATATATAAAAGATTTCCATTCAGCACCTCGTCCTTTTTTAGGCCTAAGTACCCTATTTAAAAAGGTCCCCAGAAGTTAGAGAGTTGGGAGCACCAAGGACAATGGCAGCTTCCATCCTGATGTGGAATCCCTGCCGCTACTTTCTGAGGAGCCAGACTTCAGCTCTCTGTATCGCCAAGTAATGAATGGCGGCGCGCCCGCGGTTAATGCATGTACACAGTGCATTAACTGTAACTGTAGTACATTTATTTGTGCTGGAGGAGACTTGAAAATGATTAAAAAATCAATACTTTGCTGTCAGAGAAGCAAGTGTTACGATGCATTTAAGTAGATAATTGCAGAAGCCCCATAAAAGCTTCAAGTTTGGGTAGCAAGAATGCCATAATTACAGTCCAAGCAACGGCCTTTTATTAACGGTGGATGCCAGGGAACGGTGCTCCCTGTCATCATTGCAGGTCCAATCGCAGTTCAGAAATCACGCCTTCTCCTCTCTCCTCCCATGGAGGGTTCTCGTTCTGTGCCGGTTCCTGTTGATGGCCAGGATGAAGGCCATGTTTATTTGCCAAGAAGGGAAAGTCCCATAAAGTCTCCTAAAGCAGTGCTTTCTGGCTTTTCCTTACGTCATAGAACACAGAAAAGTCATTTATAGGCCGGACTGGGGTCAAGGAAAATGGGGCTCAGAGCTGAAGGGGATCCATATGTCCACACCCCTCCTGGCTTACTGATTGGGATGCAGGGCTTGGAAATGTCCAGTCATGGACCTTTGAACTGGAAGAGATCCTAAACATAATCAGGCCCAATGTTCTCCTCAGCAAACAGGGTGTGGAAGAACAGAGACACAAAATAATGGATTCGCCAATGTTCCATACGGAGGGACTTAGAGAGCCAGGCGACAACCTTAAGTTTCTCCTTTTCCAGTTAAGTTTCACTGCACATACTCTCTCTTGGAGACTCCTGAACAAAGAAGGCAGCAGGACAATAGTTTTTGTTCCTTTTTTCCTAGTCAGAGAAAAGTCAACAAGGCGGGTAGCAAGAATGCCATAATTACAGTCCAAGCAACGGCCTTTTATTAACGGTGGATGCCAGGGAACGGTGCTCCCTGTCATCATTGCTGGTCCAATCACAGTTCAGAAATCACACCTCCTCCTCCCTCCTCCCATGGAGGGTCCTCCTTCTGTGCCGGTTCCTGTTGATGGCCAGGATGACGGCAGACGAAGGCCATGTTTATTCACCAAGAAGGGGAAGTTCCATACAGTCTCCTAAAGCAGTGCTTTCTGGCTTTTCCTTAAGTCATAGAACACAGAAAAGTCATTTATAGGCCGGACTGGGGTCAAGGAAAATGGGGCTCAGAGCTGAAGGGGATCCATATGTCCACACCCCTCCTGGCTTACTGATTGGGATGCAGGGCTTGGAAATGTCCAGTCATGGACCTTTGAACTGGAAGAGATCCTAAACATAATCAGGCCCAATGTTCTCCTCAGCAAACAGGGTGTGGAAGAACAGAGACACAAAATAATGGATTCGCCAATGTTCCATACGGAGGGACTTAGAGAGCCAGGCGACAACCTTAAGTTTCTCCTTTTCCAGTTAAGTTTCACTGCACATACTCTCTCTTGGAGACTCCTGAACAAAGAAGGCAGCAGGACAATAGTTTTTGTTCCTTTTTTCCTAGTCAGAGAAAAGTCAACAAGGCAGCACTGCGTGATCTCTGAGAGTCTGGGGGTGGGGGTCTGCTCTTCTGGTCACTGATTGGATAGCAGTGCAAGCAGGCCAGTCGCCAACTGCGTCTCAGAGAAAAAGTCAAAATCCTTTTCTATTGACATGGTGCCTGAGGATGTCTTATGCTAGCCTGCTCCCCACACACTCCTGGGACGTGGGAGGGTTGTTCATTCCCCGAGCCCTCTCTTCATATGCAAAGTTGATGATGTTTTGAGATGTTGACACGGTCCTGCAGTCTTCATAGACAACAAACTCTCCCTTAAAGATAAATAAGGAGATTTGATTTTAAAGACCTGCCATCGGCAAGAGCTTCTGCTCGTTTAGCCTTCAGTTCTTATCCGAAGATGTTCAGACTCCACACTACATAAATTTTGCAAGTGTAAATTTATGCATAATGATATGCTATTAATCAGATTATAAAGCAATAAATGCCGCATAGAGAAGAATGTATATTATCAAGCATTTTATAAAAGACCCGCTATAAACAGAAGAGACAGACTAGAAATCAGATTACAGAGCTATTGCAAAAAATGTAAGAACATTGCAATTTTATTCCACGTGAAAACAGACTTTGTATGTTGTTATTCTTTGAAATGATGGATATTGAAGTTCCATTTTATAGTTACATTTATAAGATTTTTTCTAAGTAAATACTGGTAGATTTTGAATGTGGATGAGATATGTTCTTTGATCTTTTATCACATGCAATTTAAAAGATGTGTTGTTGGCTACTAATAATACAGAATTTTGCAATGATAGAGAATTTTGTTTTGCAAAACTGAAAGCAGTTATGTATGTATGTATGTATGTATATAAGATTTTGTTTTTACTAATTTTATTTTTTTTTAGAGAGAGAGAGAGAGAGAGAGAGAGAGAGAGATTCATGTGAGAGGGCAACATTGATTGGCTGCCTCCTGCATGCTCCCTAACAACATGTAACCCCAGGTACCCAACCAACTGAGCCACGCCAGCCAGCGGCACATTTTATGTTTTGATGTCATGTTTTACACTGACTTGTGTTGCTTGTCTCCTAACTACTTATTGCAGTTTGAGCTGATTTTGATCCTCTTTTTCTTTTAACCTTCATAGTAGCTTTTGAAATGTCTGATATGCTGCATCTATTGTATATTTGGAAAGAAACGCCTTTAACATTTCTTGTCAAACTGGTTTAGTGTTGATGAAGTCCTTTGGTTTTTGTTTGTCCAGGAAACTCTCTCTCCCCGTCACTTCTGAATGATAACCTCGCTGGGTAAATTATTTTAGGTTGTAGGGTTTCTTTTTTCAGCACTTTCTAGATGCCCTGCCCCTCCGCCTGTAAAGTTGCTGCTGAAGAATCAGATGACAGTCTTACAGGGTTTCCTTTGTATGTAATTTTTTTTTTCTCTTGCTTCCTTCAAGATGGTCTGTCTTCAGCTTTTGCCGTTTTCATTACAATATGTCTTGTGTGTGTTTCTTTGGGTTCATCTAGTTTGGAACTAGATCTGTTTCCTTTCCCAGGTGAGGAAACTTAGCCATTATTTCTTTAAATACAGTTTCCATTCCTTTCTCTTTTTCTTCTCCTTTTGGGAATCCCTATAATGCCAGTGTTTGAGCATTTGATGCTATCCTAGAGGTCCCGCAAAGTATCTTTGTGGGTATTTTTTTATTCTTTTTTTCTTTCTGCTGTTCTGATTGGCTAGTTTCCACTAGTCTCTCTCTGACATCTCTGATCTGGTTTTCTGTGTTAGCTAGTATGCTGTTAATTGCCTCTAGTGTGTGTGTGTGTGTGTGTGTGTGTGTGTGTGTGATTTCAATTGTATTCTTCAGGTCTGCTTAGTTCTTTGTACACTTCTCTTTGTTGACCTTCTCCCTAAGTTCCTCTCAGGTTGGATGAGCACCCTTATGACCGTTCCTTTGAATTCTTTATTAGGCAAGTGACTTACACCCATTTTCTTAGGGTTTCCTTTTTTCTGGGGCCTTTTCTTGTTCCTTCATTTGAGAGAGATTTTTCCTGTGTTTTCGTTTTGTTTGACTTTCTGTGTTTGCTTATATAAATTAGACAAGAGAGCTGTCTCTTCCAGCCTCGGGAAAGGAGCCCATACAGAAGCTGGCCCTCTGTAGCCTGTGTGCCAGGTGGAATTGGAGGCTGGTGGGAGGGAGGAGATGGTGGCTCAGGCCTACCAGCTGGAGCAGCGCTGGGTGGAGGGGCCAGGTGCCTGTAGGTGTGAGAGTGGATCCTGATGGCTGCCTCTGATTGGTGGATGGGCTTCAGGAGACCTTGTAGGCAGCCAGGAGCATCTAGGTAGAGGCCCTGCCCACCCTTTGGAGGTGGACCTTAAGGAGGTTCTCGGAGCTCTGACCTAGGTAATTCCGCAGCTCTTAGGGCGTTCTCTGGGCTGCCCAGCCTTCTCTGTGCAGTCTCTCTCTTGCTGGTTGTACCAAAGGTGGTCTCCTGTAGAAGGGACCTCTGTGTGCAGGTTCCAGGTGCCGGGTAGTTCTGGGAAACTGCTTGGGGCTGGGTAGGTGCCCACAGTGCCTGGGGCACCAGCCTGCAGGGAGGGGAAGCTGGAGGCCGTGAGGCCAGGTGTGGGTGCCCAGCCCTGTGATTCCTGCTCGCCGCTGCCTTTGTTCAGAGGCAGAAGGCTCCAGGCAACGTAGCTGTAAGGAACAGGCTGCATGGCCTTGCAGGTAGGTCAGAGTCCCCCAATGGCCCCCCAATGGACCCCCAGTGGGCCACCAAGGTGGGGGGACCTAGACAGCCATGCCCCTCTGCTCGTCTGCCCCGGGTTCTTCTGGTGTCTCAGCGTCCGCATTTCTTCTCTTGTTTATGTCAGAAGCTGTCCATTCAACGCTTGGTGTCTCTCAGGGGTAATTGCTGCTTTTACACACGTGTCTCTCATTCTGCTCATGGGAGGGCAGCGCCCTCCCAGCCACCGCCATCTTAGCCACTCAAACTGTATAGTCAGGTTGTGGATAAAGTCTGTCTTGTGGTTTTGGTTCCCAGAACCACACACATCCTTGAGAATTTGATTTTGAATGTGATGCCCACGGTTGCACGGGTCCATACGTGTGAGGATCTGTGTCGGGAGACGGGAGCCAAGTTCTCGAAGGTAACAAGTGTTTTCTAACGTTTAGCGCCAGCCCAGCTGAGGCCGCCTCTGGTCGAAGGGGTCAGCGGCACAGCCGTCCGTGCTCGCTGGCTCCCGCCCGCAGAACTGAACGGCCCGTCTCCTGTCTATCAGCTGGAAAGGAGGGAGCCGTCCCTCCCAGCCCCGGGGGCCAGGGCGGAGAAAGGAGTCCGCTTCCCAGGACACGGATATTATACATTTCCCAGCTCCACTCACCCCGTCAACACAGACTTCACCGGTGAGTGTGTCTGACGGCCCTTTATTGAAGAGGCACACAGACCCAAAAGCTTTTCTGTTATTTTGATATCCCTTTACAATGAATTTGTAGGATGCGTATTTATAGAAACACCAGTTCAGCCCTTTGATAACTTCAGCTTAATTGTGTCCACATGTCTCTCTCTTTTTGGGATTCTGGGAAAAGGTCGGGAAAGTGGAAGAAAGGAAAGAAAAAAGTAGATAGGGAAAAGCTGTCTTCGTGGGTCAAAGTATGTGATGAACATGGCTCTTGGACAAAGTTTCTAGAACGTTTTTTCCAGAACATTAGTCACTGGCTCTGGGAAGAGTTCTGTGGGCAAATGAGTGGGGAATGCCCTCCCTCTTTGGAGGTTCCCGGGCACATCAGGTTATTAAAGCCTCTAAAAGAAATACAAGAAAGCTCTTTAACTTTGTTCAGGTGTGTATTCCTAACACTTACACGATGTAACTTCTCTAGAAAGTATAACCACTGTTAATACGCCAGGTTCTGTGGAAAGCATTACAGGAAACGGTATTTCAGGGAAAACATACCTTCTATGGGCCTGCGATAGAGTAAGGCATCTGCCGCTGGCACAGAATGTAAAGGCGCCGAAACACCTCAGTGATCAATATAAACGCATTTTAATATGATGCTGTGGTGGTGGTTTTGAAATGAGAATCAATGCGAAGACATCTCCAACACAATACCAAGCATTTAAATAGGGACAGCATCCAACCCAGCTCCTGATCTTACTAGAATATTCTGGAAGTTGTTACCTCTAGGATAGTACTTCAGAGCGCCATTTCCCTATAGATGGTAGAAAACTGTAACTCTTTAGGCTTCCTACTTCACTTTCCCAATTTACAAAGTATAAAATATATGTGTGTGTGTGTGTGTGTGTTTCTGTAAACTCAAAAGGCTTTTGTCATTTTGGAACAAATAGCTGGGTGGTGGTGGGGTTGAGGAGAGATTGAGAAAAAAAAGAGAAAACTCATGGACACAGACAACAGTGCAGTGATTGCCAGGGGGAGGGGGAGGGGAGGATGTGGAGGAGGGTACAGGGGAGATAAATGGTGATGGGGTGGTGAGCACACGGTGCAGTGTACAGATGGCGTGTTGTTGAGTTGTGCACCTGAAACCTGTATAATTTCATAACCGTTGTCACCCCAATAAATGCAGTTAAACACACACACACACAAATAAATGTTTCATAGGTTGGGGACAGTGAAATGGAATTTGCGTTAGGAACAGTAGCTGGAGCATTACTGTTTTCTCCTCACCTAACATCCTAACATAGTAAACAGTGTGCTCTGAGTGAGGCTGGCTGTGGAGGCGCGAGTGTAATGAATCATGATTGCCCTCCAGCTGAGCTGTGTTGGGATTAATGAGCACTTACCTGGCCTGGTGCATGGGCACCGTCACCGAGAGCTAGAAAGTCAACCACTCACCCCCCTAAAATGCGAACCTTCTGCTTAGTATTTATAACAGTCAAAGGAAGGAAGGAAAAGAATCTGTGGGTGAAAACGGAGACTTTTTCTCGAATGGAAATGGAAACTCCCTCCCTGGCCTCACATTCGGAGCAGCATGCGCTCCCCTCACCTGGGTGTGCTCTGTGAGCCCGTAGGCGTGGATGGCCGGCCGGCCGGCCGGCAGACAGATTTTTGATGGGATCACCTACTGTTGCAGCAGGAAAGATGGAGTGGCCAGTCCGCCGTTAATACATTTAGTCGTCTGCACTGTCTCCGGAGCCGGCCTTCTCCTCCGAGGTGCACGGGCTCGGGCAGATGTGGTGTCTGGGAAGTCTTCCAAATGCTGCTTTAAAAAAGTTAGGCCTTGCGATGCAGGGTCCTTCTGTCTGTAACAACGCCTCCAGCTGCACAGAAATGTGTTTGGAGCACACGCCATTTGAAGGACAAGGCAGGGAGATCACAGTTTTGGCTTGCACTGCTCCCTGGAGCTTTGGTGATTCCTGGAGGAGGAATTCTTCTGCATTCGGGCATGTCTGGGGGCATCACTGGGCCCTTATAGTGGTAGCTTCGCCTTACTTTTAAAGCTCTCTTTAACTTTACATCAAGTTATTGGGCGTGTTGTTTTATATACTTAAAAAATGGTTTGTTTTTCAGTTACCGTTGACATTCAATATTATATTAGTTTCAGGTGTGCAGAATAGTGACTATATAACTTACAAAGTAATCCCACTGATAAATCTAGTACCCACCTGACCACACATCTATTGCATGTGTTACCATATTACTGTGATTACAATATTGTTGACTATATTTGCATCCCCAGGACTGTTTTGTAGCTGCCCATTTGTGCTTCTTAAGCACTTCACCTTCTTCACCCAGCCCCCTGGCCCCTTGCCATCTGGCAAACCTCCGTTTGTCTATCTGAGTTTGTTCATTTATTTTGTGTTTTGGGATGCCACATATAAGTGGAATCCTATGGTATTTGTCTTTCTCTATCTGACTTATTTCTCTTAGCATAATACCCTCTAGGTCCGTGGTCGGCAAACTGCGGCTCTCGAGCCACATGCAGCTCTTTGGCCTCTTGAGTGTGGCTCTTCCTAAGCCTTAGGAGTACCCTAATTAAGTTAATAACAATGTACCTTTTTAAGTTTAAAAAATTTGGCCCTCAAAAGAAATTTCAATCATTGTACTGTTGATATTTGGCTCTGTTGACTAATGAGTTTGCCGACCACTGCTCTAGGTTCATCCATGTTGTCACAAATGGTAAGATTCTTTAAAATTGGGATAATAATACTAACTGTATTGATACCTATTAGGAAGGGAAGGATTACAGGAGATAGCCCACCTAATAAACTTTGCACAGTGTCTGCCACACAGATTAGTTAGCATTCATTAAATATTATCTGTTAACCTATTACTCCTTTAATGAATATTAAGTAAGTGCCAGTGGTGGGACAGGAGCTTTTCTAAGTCTTCTTCTGCAGTTAAAATCAACATTCTGTTACCTCATTTTCTGTGACTTACACCAAATATGTTTGCCTAAATGTTATATCTGGGGAATGAATAATAAGCAATATTTATATTAAAATGTGCTATTTAATGTTGTTACTGAAATTGTGAAGTTGATCTACCTGGCACTGAGACACTGGACAAACTACACTTCTGTGGGTGTCATCATGCCCATGTAGTAAACTGAGGGTTGTACTAACTGACCAACACCTTTAACTTTTAAATTTTAAATCTGTGACTATAGAATATTAAGTCACCTCAAAAATTCAAAACAGAGATTATTACCAAGGCATCTGTGAGTGTAGAAACACACAGATTTTTAAAAGGATTGTTCAGTTACATGATTCTTTTTTATAACATTGCTAGAGGCCCAATGCACAAAATGTGTGCAAGGCCTTGGCCCTGGTCCCTGCCTGTCTCTGCCACGGCTCCCGCCCCCTGCGGCTTTGTCAGGAAGGAAGTATGTCTGGTCTAATTAGCATATTACCCTTTTATTATTATAGATGTTATCAATTGAAGATTAACATAAGTTTACTCTATCTCTACTAATCTGAATAACTTGGTGATATTGGGAGAATTACTCAGTATCAATGGAAATTCCATTCATGGGTCATAGGTCCTAGCAGAGGGTGCAGAGCAGCAGCAAATCCAACAATAATGTTGTGATCCTCTCACTAGAAAACCAGGAATCACAGGGTGAGATATTCTCCTGGTTACATGGAGCTAACAGCACTTTCTTCATCCAAAACAGAAATAGCACACAGAGCCATCCCTCCTAGATGCAAAGGAAAGGGCAGATAGATCACTGTGTCTTCAGAGAGAGAAAAAGACACTTGTTTTGTTCAGGATTTCAGAGTCAGCGCACTGGATTTACATAAAAACTTTAGTCCTGTCCGTGCAATGCTAGTCAGCCAAAGGAAAGGCGGTAAAAACAGAAGACGAAAGGTACCTCTCAGATTGGCATTCCAAAGGCGACCCTCTCTGTCCTCCTCACTGTTTCTTTTTCCTATTAGTGGGAACAGGTCCACAATCATTTGGGGGAAGGTTTGATGATTGCAGCATCTAGATGCCAATCACACCAGCCTTTTCAGCTGGGCCTTTCCTGGTGACCCTGCCCAGGAACCGGCAACTGCCTTTGGGGAGATCTTTGTAGCAAACCACTGGGGACCCAGCGTACTGTGCGCTTGGATGCAATTCCCTTTTATTTGTCCTCACGGGAAACGTGATGACTGATGCTGAATATCTTGCAGATGAGAACTCTGCACACTTTCTTCCTAATCACTGCTGCTCAAGGACACGCATGATTGTCACGCATGTTGTTCCCTTCCTATTTCATTTGTCTTCCCCAAAACGGCCGGAGGAAAATGCGGTAGGATCCAGAGGTGCAATTAATTACCGATCCAGGGAGAGAGACATGCAGCCAAAATCAATATGCCGTAAAAGCACATATTTTACGCGTCCTTACTATTTCTGCATTATTGTTATTATTTTAATCGTTTTTAGTAAATTGAGGCATGTGAGCACTTCATTAAAGGCAAGCTGATTATATGCAGGTGCGGTAAAGGTGCAAGCAGAGTGAACTTCCTCAGATGAACTAATTAATAAAAGCACATTAGTTCTGACCTTCAACACCCTTGGTGTTCCAATATTTGTTTTCCTATGACTGAGAGCGAGTACTTTTGCCAGAAAGTGCTTTTTTTAAGAAAAAAAAACCTAAATAAATAAAATGCCAAGTTTTTCCCTGGCAGATTTGAACCCCAGACTTTATTTAACCTTGGATACTAGATTTAGGCTATAGTCATTAAAAAACAACTATACGAAACCTACTCTATGTCCTAGCAGTGAGCTCCTGTAGCCACTCTCTCATCCAGCTG